ACCTAATCTAACCTCTTCTGTTGCACCCGAAATATTACTTCCTTATGGGTTGCCCGTCACTGATCTCCTCGAACCCAAGATTGAACCATGTTTAATCTCTAGTCGATTTTGTTGAAACTCTAGATGATGAAAGATCATAGGAATCGCTTGAGTTTTTGATTTCCATTCCACGATAGTCTCTACTCGCTACGTTCAATGTCCAATAATTTGGACCCCGCTGCCACGTGTTACGCCGCCGAAAGAACAGAAATTCGCTGCCGGTTCCAGCGAAAAGAGCGGCATTGAAATTGCGTTTTGCTGAATTGGACCAATGACGATGGGATCCTTAAGAAATCGACTAAGAACGGGGACGAAAGTTAGGGGTCGGCAGGAGGTCCGGAAAGCTACTGACACCAGCAGTTGCCAGAGAGAAATCTCCATTTTGCGAAAGATGGGGAATGAATCGGAGACAGACTGCCCGAGAGAGGAGCCAGCGAAAAGAGAGAAACTGTGAAAGTGGAATGCAATGGTTATGGTATGGACCTGACTTCATTTGTTTTTGTTGGGTCCTAAGCCCACAAAAATTTGATCCATCAAAGATCCCATTATCCGCTAACCTTAACCTAGCCCAAGAAAGGTTGAGGTAAACCGAGCCGTTACATTGAAGTAAACCGTTTCGCATGGCCCTTGTTGATCTATATTTGATTTTTTGGGAAGACGGGTGGTGTTATTGCCACAGCCACTAATGTTAATACCACAGCTTTTTTTAATTATTTAACTATTATACCCCTCATTTGAATCCAACTTGCAGCAGTCACCACCTTCTCCGCGTGGGTTAATGGTCAATTAATTAAAAAAGCTGTGGTGTTAACCTTTGAAGCTGTGGCAATAACACCACCCGGGAAGACCAATTACTTCAATTCCTCAATCCAAGCAGGGATTATAGGTCTTGACCGAATTATAGGATAAATAACCACATCTTTTGATAAAAAATATATGTAAAATTTAAGAGTTAGTGTTTATAATTTACCTTATTTTTTAAAAAAAATAAGAAAAAAATTTTAAAATTAAGTCATTTAAATAAAATATTCTAAAAAAATATTAAAAAATTTTAATTCATATTACTAAAATAGAGTATTGTAATTTTTTTTAATAATAATTTATTGAAATGACATAATTTTAAAATAAATTTTCTTCTAATATTAAAGAAATAAGGCAGATGGATACTTTTTTTTAGAATTTAATCTAATTTTAATATAATTTAATAATTTTATTATTATTATTATCAAAAATTAAAATTAACAGAAACACATCCATCATGTATAGAATAATTATCAAATACTAAAATAGTTTTTAACGACAAGATTTATACTTAGTTACACATGGTAATACAACACATCAACACAAAACAAAACAAAATCACATGTTGACTTAGTAACAATGACAAATTTTGATATTGAGAAGAATAGAGACTTATAACACAGATTAAAGTTTTCAAGAACTGTGCTTGCAATGGTCCTCACCGCTGCTTGTTCCTCAACTTTGTTTTGGTACTCTTAGAAGCTCACCTACCACGATTTTTGCTTCCTTGATTCAATCGAGAAAAGAACTTGGAAAGAAGACCATCAGTATGTTTGTAATACCACACCCTCCATCTCTTGCATAACATAAGTGGTAGAATAACAATTCCTAAGCCAAAAACAAATCCCAATTCAACGCTTAGGAAATTCCAATCAATATGGGTTCCATCATATGAATGTTTGTATTCGGATGGTGGTACTACACTACAATTTTCCTTCAAGGGTATCCCACATAATCCCTTGTTATCTTTAAAGGAATCTTCTGAAAATGTTTGAAACTGACTTCCGCTTGGGATACTTCCTTTAAGTTGATTGTGTGAAAGATTAAGGACTGCAAGGAAATTAAGATCTGCCAACTGTTGAGGAATTTCACCACTAAGATTGTTACTAGAAAGGTCCAAAGACTCAAGATGTTGTAACTTTCCTAAAGATGAAGGGATTAGACCTGTAAAACCATTATGTGACAAGTTGAGGGCATAGAGTGCCTTGAACTCCCCCAAAACCTCTGGTATCTGCCCTTCAAACTTGTTACATGAAAAATCGATGGAGGTGAGGAGACTTAAGATTTTCACTAATCTTGTCTCAGAACCTTTAATGGTAATGGTTGCTGCATATCGATAATAGATACCTTGAAAGAAATCAATGCTGATGATCGTCACCGGTCTTACACCACCTTTGCAAGCTTCTTCTGATTCAGGAAGACAGAATGTTTCCGAGGATTTCTCGATCTCAAATTCAAAATGAATATCTTCCTCAAAAACAAGGACTTTGTTCTCGTCTAAAGCAACCATCACTGCCTCCCAGCTTTGTAACCAATGATAAGGCAGTTCTCCCCTAAAATGATTAGAAGCAAAATCGACAATTTGAAGTGGTGGCCAAGAGGAATTTTCATCTAGGCAATTAATCAACCCATGAAAGTTGTTGTACCTCAATACCAAGACTTTCAAATTTGACATGTTCTTCAAATGGCATGGAAAAGTATCACTGATCTGGTTGTTCCCAAGGTCTAAGACCTCCAAGATAGCACAATTGGCTAGAGATCTAGGAACCTTCCCTTCTAAGTGGTTTCCATTGAGGTTTAGTGTTAGTAATGAACAGTTACTGGAAAATTTATCAGAGATGTTGCCACTGAGGTTATTTCTACTCAGGTCCAACACCTTAAGAGACTCCATCTCATTTAAGCATTGAGGAATTGCACCATTCAGGGAATTATTGGACAAATCAAGGACTTGAAGATTTGTAGCATGGCAAATTGATTCAGGAATACCTCCCTGGAGGTTGTTGTTGGAAAGAAGGATGAAGGAAGAGTTAATCTTAACTGAGATATCAGAGAATTGTATAACAGAGTTGAAGTTGTTGCTTGAGAAATCTACATATGCTAAATATGACGAGAGGTTTGGTAGTTGACCTTGCAATTTGTTGCCACGAAGGTCTAAGACAGACAAAGAAGGACTTGGAGCTGTCAAAGGGCCTTTCAAATTCACTAGAAAGTTATGAGAAAGATTTAAGTAACTGAGAGATGATTTTTCCCAAACCCAATCGGGTATTTCTCCATCAATCTGGTTGGCTGAAAGATCTAAAATTGATAGTTCAAATATCTCATCAGCGATACCCTCACAGAAATTTGGGAATCGTTTTAGGCTGCAAGAAGCCAATTTTAATGTGTGCATTTGGGCAAAATAAGTACCAAAAGAAATGGTTGCATTGATGGACAAGTTGTTGAATGAGAGATCAAGAGTAGAGAGATTGGATTCGTGCAAAATTGAACTTAAATTTAATGGACCACTAAAATTATTGGAAGAAAGGATGAGGACGTGAAGGCTCTGGAGTCTAAATAAACACATTGGGAGAGATCCATTCAACATATTACCATCCAACTCAAGGGATTGCAAAGTAGAGGAAGCTAATTCTGGGGTTTCATGCAATTCACCAGTGAACTGATTTTGTGAGAGTACTAAACTTTGCAAAGAAGGAATTTCAAACAAAGTTGCAGGAAGAATTCCACTTAGTGCATTGTCTCTCAGATTAATATACTCAAGCTTGGAAAGACTTGACCAATTAATGGACAGAATTGAACCAGTTAACTGATTGTGGGCAAGGTTTAGGTGGGTAAGATTTTTGGCAAATGAAAAAGATGGGATTGGACCAGAAAAACTGTTGGACGAAAAATCTAGAGAGACAAGTTGTGTGAGATTTGTTATCACTTCTGGAATTTGCCCTATGAAGCCAGCATGTGAGAGATTAAGATGAGTCAAGTTTGAAAGTTTATCAAACCTAGAAGGAAAATCGGAGTTGAAGTGGTTGTTTGCCAAATTTAGACTCTGGAGATGTTGGAGATTGAAGATACTGCTTGAATTGTCAATTCCTCCCACAATCCATTCGTTGCTCAAATCAAGATCTGTTACATGACCTTCGGCATCACATGTTACACCTTCCCACATGCAGCAATTTGTGCTTTGATTCCACTTCACCAGTTTGAGAGATGATGAGGAATTGAAGTCGAGCCTGTTCTTCAATTGAAGCAAAAACCACTGCTGGTCGCTTAGACAGCGACCAGAAACTACAACCACATTGATCTCAAAGAAAATTGTTGCAAGAAGCAATATGAAAAGCCAAGAAAAGAGTGAAAGCATCATTGGTTGCAACAATGTCAACAGAGACCAGACAAACTATGATCGTGAGTTTTAAAGATTGGCCAAAATGATATACTGATTAATGTTTGCAACTTCTTAGTCTTGAAACATAGGGCTCTTTGCCCTGTTATTTATAATCACCATCACCTGAGTATATATACAAGTCATTTACATTTCTACAGCTATGCTGGAATAAATTAATAAAACATCAGTCTACCCCACCCCCCAAAAAGAGAGAGAGAGAGAGAGAGAGAGAGAGAGAGAGAGTTGATGTTACCAGAGTCTGCTACTTCACAGACCGTATGTGAAACCGACGAACTTGGAAGGAAAGCACCATTGGATACGGTAGGAAAAGTGCACTCGGAGAAAAAAGTTGATGTTATCGGAAGTCCATTATTCTACCTATTAAAGAATGTGAGACCAACCTACTGGAAGTCAAAGCATCAATGGATACGGTACGGCACGACTTGGTAAGACAACGAGATTAAAGCAGGAAATTTCGAACGTATCAATCGAGTGGTTCCATCAAATTTCTGCGTTGGAAAGACCGTTCCATTCGCAAAGCTTTACTGAATTTTACAGAGTAAAAGCAATTCTAATCTAGAGTAAAGCTAACCCATGGAATGAGTTTGAGAAGATGTAACTTTTTCCCTAATTTACGCGTCTTCTTCGATATGTATTTTTATGGAAATTATGAACTTGACTTCTATACATTAGTTGGTAATATATATTTTCAGGGAAATTATGAAATTAATTTTTATAACCATTCTTTTTTCCACTGCTTCAACAACTTCTCCTAATACTGTCATAATGTCATATAAAAAGGTCGTATTACACCTCAACCTAACCCCAACAATTATATCATTTGATTCTTTGAAAGAGTTTTTTCATTTAAAGGAACAACAAGAACAACTATTAAACTTTAAACCTAAAAAAAAATCAAAAAATAATCATCGGGAGAAGAGAAAAAATAGGAGACAGAACAATTAACATATGTAAATCGTAATTCTATGAACTTAAAATAATTAAAAACAAGAAATATTTAATCTTAAAATTGTAGCAGGATAGATACGTTAAGTTTGAAAACATGGGTCGTTTGCCTTGTTAATTTGCAATCACTGTCAGCTGTCTTCAACAACCAAAGGAAATTGGTGGAGGAGATTTCACATGTATCCATTGTAGGTTCCATCAAATTTATGCACTGAAAATACCATTTCATTGACCAAAGGTTTATTGCAATTGACAAACACAAAACAATATTTACGCTTAGATGCTAATTTGCGCATATGTTTCACTTTTATTTAGGGTGGAATATCAGTAGGTCACTTCCATTTATCAGTTGGTAATATGTATTTTCAAGAAAAAATGATGAATTTAATTTCCATAACCATTCTCTTTTCTACTTCTTCAACAACTCCTCTTAATGCTGTCATAAAAGGCCACAAGCATAAACCTACCCCTAGCAATTACTATATCTTTTGAGAGAGTGTCTTCATTTATAAAAGTAACAAGAATAACTAATGAGCATTAAACCCAAAAAATGAAAATTTAAAACTAATCAAGAGAAAAAATAGGGACTACCACAATTATTGATAATAGATTCCTAGAGAGAAAATATTGTTACCTCTCTCCACATCTCTCCTCAAAGTAGTATACAATATTCTATTCTTGCAATTTTGTGTATCTCTCGTTAAAGAATTACCATAACATCCTTCAGAATCCTTGCAAATTTGGGTATTTCTTGTGACAGAGGTACCATAACATCCTTCAGAATCCTTGCAGATTTGGGTATTTCTTGTGAAAGAATTACCATAACATCTTTCAGAGATTCTATTATTATGATCAAGTTCAAAATGAACATCTTCCTCCAAAACAAGGACTTTGAGCTCATCTGAAGCAACCATCATTGCCTTCCAGGTTCTTAACCAAAGATAAGCCAGTTCTCCCTTACACTGATTGGAAGCCAGATCGATAATTTGAAGCAGTGGCCAGGAACAATTGTCATCTAGGCAACTAATTAGCCCATGAAAGTTGTTGATCCTTCAAGAAATGGGTTGATCAATAAGTCAAGTCTTTAGTGTAAGTACCTGGAAGATCTTCTATGGAACTTCTCCTTGCAAATTAGTGGCGGCAAGCTGTAGAGAAGTCAAGTTCCTTAGTTCCACAAAAAATTCTGGAATTGAAGCAAACAGATTGTTTCCATCCAAACAGATCACTGAAAGAGATTGAAACTTGGAAAGGGAAGAATCTATGGGGCCTGAAAGGTAACAGTTTGACATGCTCAATACCTTCAAGTTCGGTGGAGAAGAAGACAAAAAGCTTG